TGTGTGTGTGTGTGTGTGTGTGTGTGTGTGTGTGTGTGTGTGTGTGTGTGTGAGCACAGCTCTGAGACTGAATCCAATCATGGGCTTTATCAGCAGGAGATCTTTCTAAAGCTCTCATTCATTCAGGAGCCTCACAGATGGAGCCAAACAGCCTTTTCAACCCCAACCCTGACAGTCAGAGCCGGTCCTGTGCATGAACACAAGATCTCGGCGCATCTGACAGGAACACTGCGCTACGAGAGGAAATGCCAGGATGATCGCATTCACTACGACCAAAATCCAGCTATTAAAACAAACACACTGCAGTGTCAAGAAACGGGACGTCTGATTCGATTTTCATTGGAAAGAAGTCCTTTTTCTTTGATTATGTTCAGAATAGCATACTAACATGCTACTCTTACTATTTCTGTAGTAAGTAGTATACTTTTTGAATTACATTTTATTTTTATATTTTCTGTTTTCTTTAAAATTTTAGTTAAAGTTTTAGTAATTTTTTTTTTCATATAATTTTTTATACATTTTTATTCATTAGTTTCAGTTATTTTATTTGACTGATTGATCTTTATTGTCATTGTTGAAAAACAAAAACAAAATTGTTGAGCAACTCCTCAAACAATGTCCATTAAATTAACAACAACAAACACAACTTAAAAACTGAAAAATATTTATAAAACTTAATCCCATAAAAAACTAAATAAAATAATAAAACTAAACTAAATTAAATTAAATTAAATTAAATTAAATTAAATGACTAGCGCATATAGTCTTGTTAAGTTATTTTAGTACTTCAAGTTAAACTGAATGAAAATGAGATATTTTGTCTTGGCAACTAGCTGAAATAAAATAAGTATTCAAATATTTTATTTATTTAAATTCATGTTTATTTTATTTCAGCTCAAGTAACACATTTTTTATGGTTTCAGTTTTAGATCACTATACTAACCCTGCTGTAAAGCCAAAATGAGCAAAATATACAAAGTACACTTACATTAGTACAGTATCCCACAATGCATTGCAGAGCCAGTGTGTGAATGAACCAATCACATATCTCAGCCACAATCTTTTTAAACTCATTATTTAATCTGATTGCCAAGTTTTGCTTCAAAATGTCAGAAATTTCTCAGACATTTTTAAGCCAAACTGGTTTAGAAAGACAAAATAGGAGTTATTATTTCAGACATGATAACTGGACGTCACCTGGATGCACGGGTGGTTAAATTAACCAGCACTAACCATGACAGGACACACAACCAGACGCAGTGCTGGGAGTTCATGCAGGCACTAACATGAGCTGTGGATCCACACCCCCTACTCACAAACCCCAAATACAGAGAGCGCCAGACAAAGGGGCTGCTGGGAAGGGAGGGGTGCAGTGCTTTCCTATACAAACCCTTCACATCCGGCCCAATGATCCTGACAAAAGCCTTTATAAACAGGCTCTGACTCCCTCAGCAGGACACGGTGCGGCACTGAGACACACTCCACACTCGACCGAACACTTCACTCACGCATGAGCAGATTGAGCACAACACACACAACGCACGAGACGCGACTGAGCAGGGCTCGGGACTACAGGAGCGACTGAAAATCCCAAGAGATCAAGCTTCAGATATATTATTAAGAGACTGTGCAAAACATCAAAAATACTCCACTTACAAAAAAGTACCATGCTATTTGCATAGATGCTGTGAGAAACTAAAAAGAAAGAAAAATAAAAAACGATATTTCTTTCTATCTATCTATCTATCTATCTATCTATCTATCTATCTATCTATCTATCTGTTTAGAAAATGTAAAAAAATACATATCAAATATAAAAATTAATAAATGATAAAATTACAACGTAATTTATTTTAATTTATCATTTATAAAAATATAAATGAATAAATAAAATCATGATATATTTTATATTAGTCATTTATATAAAATGTAATACGTAAAACCTTACAAATAAACGCATAATTAATATAACTCCAATATATTTGTATGAATATATCATTTATCTAAAATAGCATAAAAAAATAAAAAAATAAATAAATAAATAAAATTGCAATATACTGTATTTTCTATTAATATATAATTTATATAAAAGGTACATTAAATAAAATCGTAATATATTTCACACCAATAATTGATCTATATACTATATAAAAGCTAAAAATAAATAAATAAATACAATTATAATATATTTTTATGAATATCTAATTTATCTCAAATGTAATATATAAAAAGCTAAAAATAAATAAATAAATAATAAAATTATAGTATATTTATATGAATATATAATTTATGTAAAATATATATAAAATCTAAAAATAAATAAATACAGTTATAATATATATTATATAATTTCTATAAAATATGGAAATGTAAAAAATAAATACTACAATTTTAATATATTATAAATACATTTAATTAATTAATAAAATGGCAGTGTGCATTATGCAGTAAGTATTCGAAACAGACTGCAGATGCTTGAAAGCCCATCTGTGGAGTAATTAAACGCAGTATGTTCATGAACGGTACGACGGGGAACAGTTGCATCTTTAATGCGACACACGCTGGTAAATCAGGTGCTTGTCATCAATGTTGCAGCAGCACAAAACCCCTCCGTTTCTAAACGCGTCAGTTACATGCTGATTAAACTTCCCTCTGCTATCAGTGAATCTCACTAAATCCATTCTTAATTCTGTACCGTCTTGCAGTTCTGTGCTGGATTGATCCTTTCTGGCCAAACTCTGTATTGCAGCACTCCTAACACTATTGATCTCTTATATGATTAATGGCTTGCATTGTAGCGTTCATCACAGTCTGCTATATGAATAAATGCTAATCTCATGCAAACCACCTCAAATAAATACTCACTGAAAAGCAGTAAACATGCAATTAAATTAGCATTTCCATATGCGCCTGATCATCCCTCACAAGTCTTACAGTAAGTCGATTACTGCACCTCATATTAAACATTCTCTGCCTCATGCATTCGTTATATTCTGAATGCAGCGGATTCCTGCAGTGCAACGCTGTCGGAAACCCACAGACTGTTCATTTGTGGACGCAGCGTGAACGTGGCCTCCGTCAGTGACGTGCATGTGAATCTGCCGTTTCTATGGCAGCAGAGATCGAGGCCCCAGACGGCCGGGTCTGTCCCGCACAGCGCCCGCGGGACACTGAGGAACGCACTGATGAATATTAATGTGGGCCGACACTTGACAGCGCAAGCGTTAATGACTCATCAGTTCATTTCCTCTCGTTACCACGTCAAACGAACCTCAGCGAGACCCAAAATAATGAATCAAACCCTCAACGCCCCGCCAAATATGAAACACACACACATGCATGCATGCAAATGGACACCACAAACACGCGGAGAAAAGAGCAAAGACAGACAAAACTAAAAGGATAGAGTGTTTAAATAATAACAAATGAGTACTAAGGTATTATGAGTTATTTTGGACACTATAATGACACAATAATATTCCTTGAATATTTCTGAGAACCAAAAGATGCATATATGGATCTATATGAGCTATATAAATAAAATACATGGTTATCATACAGTACAATAGTTTCTAGCAAAATAAATATTACAAAAGTGAACTTATTTTGTAAGCGGCATCACATTCTCTGACTGGTGGAATAAAAAGCAGCATGCATAAATAAATGCAAAAATGCTTGCACATATATATATATATTTTTTATTAATTTATATTTATTTATGTGTGGAATATTCCACATAACACTGCGAAAATCACTGTTATTTACTCCGTATTTTTTCTTGTTTTACAGATGTGTTACAGAAATATCTAAACATCCTTAACAAGATACATTTACTTGAGAAGTCTTTAGAATTCAATTTTCTGCTTAAATGACAATGGGGTAAAAAAAAAAACTATTTTGCTTAAGAAAAAGTTGACATTAAATTTTGCTTAAAGGATGTTTAAATATTTATAATAGAAAAATGGCAAATATATAAATCATGTTTGTTAACATTAGCTAACATATTGGCTATCATAAACTAGCAATGAACATTTTGCAGCATTTAACAATCTTTGTTAATGTTTGTTCATAAAAATACTTTTCATGTTTGTTCACAGTGTATTAGATAATGTCAAAAGATACACTTTTTTGCATTGTATTAATGTATTAAATGAAATGAACATTAACTAAGATATAACGAGTGTTGGAATACTGTTAAGTTAGTTCATGTTAACAAATTAAACCTTATTGTAAAGTGTTTCCAGAAATGTATTTTTGCACAAAATTCTGTTGTCATACGGCAAAATTATTCTATTCTATAAACTGTTTTTAAATAAAGAGAAAAACATAGTTTCATTAGCCATTAAGTTTCATTCTTTTTTAACCGATTTGACTCACAGTCACAGTGAAGCACAGCGAGCTCAACAGAGGAGACAAAACCAACAACCATCACAGTCCACATCAAACGCCTCATGATGAAGGCTTCACACCCACACAGCAGCTCAGATGACTCAGTCTGTTACTCAGCTTGACATAAACAAGGTTTATAATAAAGTCACTCACCTGTGTAAAATGAAATTCTGGAAATGTCTGTGGAGAGAAAGAGAGAGAGAAGAAAGGTCAGGACACCTGGTTTTGTCATCTCAGCACATTGAGCAGAGCATGTGGTTTTATAGGTCAGCTGTAATCTCTACGGCGCCCCCTGTCTGCGGTGCAGAGTGCTGGACAAAACTGCAGCCAAGACTGCCAGCAAAATCAGACATCTTCATAACACACTGAAAATAACGGGGTCAAAACCAGAAGATGCATATGTGCTCAACTGGTTTTCATTTAAATATATATCGTTCTATAATATTATTATTCTATAACATGTAATATTTTTTATTATTTTTATTTATATGTATTTTGCATATTTATATTAAATATATATCTATCTCTCTATCAAATATTATATATATTTTTATATGAAAAATATTTATTACATTTTATTATTCTATAATGCATATATTATTCTATAATAATAGTTGTTATTCTGTAAGATACAAATGTTTGTATTTTATTTGTATGTATTTTACATATTTATATTTTAATAAATATTTATATATACATATAATTTTTGAATATAAAAATATATTATATAATATAAAAATACATTGTAATACTATTTTTAGATAATTAGAGGAGACTCTAGAGGAGACACATGTGAGATGAATGGGATCTTTTACTCAGGAGAAACATCTGAGACACAGGAGCCTGAAAAACGAGGTCAAAACCAGAAGATAGAAGATATTAAAGAGATATAAAAGTGCTCATCTGGTTTTCAGTCCGGTTTCATTTAAGTATCAACTTTGTCTCTGATGTTTCTACTAAAAATTGAACATAGGAGCATATTATAATACTATTTTTACATTATATTACTATTTTTAGATAGTTACCCATCCATAGGGAACATTTATGTAAGATGAACCCATTAACCTTTAGTTGCAAGGAAGGTTTTTACAACTATATGAGCCAGAAAATCCTGTACACTTGTATCTACCCTCACTCACCTTTATTTATCACCTGTTAAATAAATAACTGTAACATACTCTAAAATGTCACACTCACACGTTCTCAGTGTAAAATTGTCGGCACGATGCTGTTGATAAAGAGTGTGACGAGAGACCAAGAAACTGGCATCAGCTGTACGTTAGCCCAGAATGAGATCCGGGTCACGGCACCAGATTCACAGATGGGCTCCTTTAGCATCTCCCATAAACCCTGCCAGCAATAACTCTGCCGTTATGGGGTTTCTTTGATGTGGACAAACTATAACAACCAAGAACAGACTGCCGCGCTCCTTTATGAGCTCTGACATCGGATCCTAATGGATGACAGACTCATCTACAGAAACGCCAGACCTTGTGACCCTCACATGTGGATTCCCTCGCGGCTTTTCTCTGCAGACACCAATTATACACACACTCCAAATAATCAATATTGTTAGCGGCTAATCAAATCTACATGTGAATGGCATCGCATGGCTGCTCTATTGACGGTGTGTCCAGAGATTAAAGGATCAGTGTGATTTTAACACACTTCTGTCACACTTCATATACGCTGGCGGACGTTTTTAATAGATCGTTCACACTTCATGTCAAACCCTTTCATAGGCACCAGTCTTGATTCTCTCGGCTCCATAATGTCACACGCTGAGGATCAGGACGCAATGCAAAGGTCACCAATAAAGGATACGTGCAAGACTGTGCAGACCCAAACACCTGCTTATCAAGCTGTTGGCCTTTGAGCTCGGCTGGTTATGAGAGGATGGAGTGAAACCTGAACACAAACGGCTCTGTGTTTCAGCTCAGTCGGGATGATAACGCACAAACCGCTCCAACTGAAGCATTATCACAGTCATTCAGAGCAGATACGGATCAGATCTTCACCACACAATGCTTGTTTATTAATGCTACAAGCTGGTTAAAGGGATAGTTCACCCAAAAATGACAATTCTGTCATCATTTACTCACCCTCAAGTTTTTGCAACCCTGTACAAGCTTCTTTATTCTGCTGAACACAAAAGAAGATATTTTGAAGAATGTTGGTATCCAAACTGTTTCTGTTCAGTTTCTGGTCCCCATTGACTTCCATTGCTTTTTTTTCCATACTATGGAAGTCAATGGCAACAAGCAACTGTTTGGTTACCCGCATTCTTCAAAAAATCTACTTTAAAATACAATTTTTCATTTTTGGGCAAACTGTCCCTTTAAATGCCAAAAATCCTGGCCAAATATGCCACCAACAAAGTCTTTTCTGGTACAAATCTGCTCAAAAGTGACTGACATGGTCCTTAATGTGTGACAAAATGGTACCGAAAAGAGTTTATGAAATATAAAATTAGAGAAAATATTTCTGTTTACAATACAGTTCAAAAGTTTGGGGTCAGTACAATTTTATACTTTCATTCAGCAAGGATGCATCAACCAAAAGTGACAGTAAAGACATTTATAATGTTATTAATATATATATTAGTGCTGTCAAACGATTAATCGCGATTAAACGCATCCAAAACAAAAGTGTTTGTTTACATAATATATGTGTGTGTGCTGTGTATATTTATTTTGTATATATAAATACACACACATGCATATATATAATTAAGAAAATGTCTTGTTTATATATAAAATATTTATATTTATATATAATATAAATTATATGAATATACTGTATATACACACATGTAAATATTTTTTTAATTCAGTATGTTTGTGTATTTATATATACATAATAAATATACACAGTACACACACATACAGTGGTGTGAAAAAGTGTTGGCCCCCTTCCTGATTTCTTATTTTTTTGCATGTTTGTCACACTTTAATGTTTCAGATCATCAAACAAATTTAAATATTACACAAAGATAATGCAAGTACATACAAAATGCAGTTTTTAAATGATGATTTAATTTATTAAGGGAAAAAAGCTGTCCAAACCTACGTGGCACTACGTGAAAAATGAATTGCCCCTCCTGTTAAATCATGAAAGAACT